TTCTACATATATGTTAGTAATAATACAAGTTATGTTGTATTTGTCAAACTTAACAGGTTTACCTTTGACAATCTTTTATATATAAATACTACTATATATACTCTTTATAATAACTATTTTAAACACAAGTACTCTATAAAGTAAAAAATTACTTATTGTTAAAATATCTGAAAGGGAGTACTTGCTTAAGGAACTAGAGATCTACTTTTTCTGTATATATCTCTTCTCTAACCTTTATAATTATTTTAGAAGTCATATAGAGTAGTATACTATACTTTACCTATATTTCCTCTATTTCTATAATATAAGTAGTACTAGAAAGGAGTTTCTAACTAGTTCATAAAAGATGTAGGAGTCTACTTACAACCTAAAGTTACTGAGTAAGAGCTTGTCCTCTGTACAGAGCTTGAATAGGTTGTATTTACCTTTAATAAGAAAGTTTTCTAGTCTAATCAAATCATTCATAAAAGTTATTAGAGAACATTTATTATAACTTATAGACTAGTAAACTATAGCTCACTTTAAGTCTCTATAAATTACCTCAACTTTCTTTAAATAAAGAAAAGTAACTACTACAAATATCTGCCTTCAATTACTAAATTAATTGTAAGTATAAAGTCTAAAAATCATATTTAACAAATAACACCTTGAATAATACACTATACTTTCTTCTGAGACACACTAAACATTGTTAAGCTAATAAAGGAGAGTATTTCCTCTAACATACTCAAGAACTGTAACTAACAAATCATTGTTTTTGAACACTCTATAGTATCTTATTTATAAAAATATTAAGTGTTATCTACATATGTTAAGAGTTAAAAATCTCTACACACTATGTGTCTGTGTTTTACCTAAGACAATATTATTGTCTCTTTAATTGTGAACCTTTTAGCATTTTCATTCTTCTTCTTGTTAGTCCTTATATTACTATCAGGGTCCTTCTTCTTCTAAGTCACTTTAGTAGTAAGCTTTAATATCTCACCTTCTACAATATTATCTCTTTTAATAAGCTAGTCAAATACAGTTGAGTGTGTCTTTGATCTTTCTCTTAATAATCAAGTAAGAATTCTAACATACTCTAATTTTACTAAACTTTCCTTCTCCCACCTACTTCTTTATTGTAAGTTTCCCAGTTACATTATTGTTAGCATTATCCTGTTCTAATAACTAGTTACTATAAAAGACAGGACTACTACTCTTATTCTTAAATAGTTAGCTTAAGCCTACAAGTTCTATTATAATTAATCAATTTTAATGTATTACTCTCTGTTGAAGTCTTGACAATAATGAAAGACTAATACAGTTGGCTCTTAATAAGCCTTATATAGAGTAAGATATTTAATGTGTATCCTTCTACAAAACAGCCTTAAAATATTCCTCTAATAATATCTAGATAAACTACAAAGTACATAGTACTGAGTATACTCATATTTTGATAAAATCAATTACATAAGTATATGAAGTGTATTTGAATACTGTAAAACAGTAATTAATCAACTTTGTATGTTAGGTTTATAAGAAATATTAAGTAATGTAGTAAAGTATTTTTACCATTATTATAAATACTCTCTTAAGATTATATGTAATGTACCTTTTCCTAAACAGAAGGCAGTGAATATAAAATATCCTACTAATATTAACTTTGCTCCTATAACATAGAATTAATTACTTATAGTGACTCTTTGTATCTACTACATGTATTGTACATATTTAATTAAAATCTCTTCTACAGGGATAAATTAACTGATCCAAAGTACTAAGGTGCTAACTTACAACCTGTATATAATACTTACTCTTACTACTCCTAATTACAATTAATTAGTTACTTTACTTTTAATTACACACTCATAGTGTATTAATACTATCTCTCTAAATAAATAAACACCTAAATCTGTTACTCTAAAACAGGTACAACTACCTGATCCTCTAATCAACATGTATAGATTGTTAAAGTTGTAACATTGTTTGTCTTATAAAGAGTAATTTTACTAGTTAGTAGACTTAGAAATATAGTAATACTAAGAAAAAGGTTAGAAGCTAAGTTGTACATAAGTAATCTAACCTTCTAACACTATATTTAATTAAGTCTTACAAGTAAAAGTGTAAAGAACTCTTACTTCCAAATTATAATAATACTTTTAAGTATTTAATATGTGTAATACTTATTAAAGTAGTACTATTGTAAGTATAATATTTTAACATGTTAAAGCTACTTTGTCTGGTTTTCTCCTTATTAGAACACTGTCTGTAATATACTCTATACTAAAGAAATGTATATATCCTACACTTCTCAATTATAAGATTGTACAACCTGTTTGTACTCATATACAAGTTACTTATAAGTTACTATAGAATAACTTTTTATAGAGTTCTACATATGTTAACAGTTTCTATTTCTACTATCTGAGAAGCTTGTATGTTAGAACAGCTGAGACACAAATGTAAGATACTATACCTTTTTATAAGAAAATATTATACTAGTAAATACAACTTTTTATCTAAATTAAGTTAATTTCTTTATTCTTAGTATTAGTCTTAGAGTCAGTAATACTAAATATACACATTTTTTCTCAGAAGAGTCTCATACTATTTAATACATTCTAATAGTTATATATACTATATGTAAGTCTAACAAGTCCTTTTTATTTTATAATAGATCTTAAAACATTTAAACATTTATAAAATTTATATATTTTAGAAATTACTATATATAAATATATAAATAAATACAGAGTATCAAGTATAAAATTCTATTGACTTACTAATAGTATTCCAGGTATTAATAAAATTCATTTAGTTAAGACTACTACTAATACTTAAAGTCTATCTTTAAAATAATAATTAGTAAAAGTATACTTAAGAAATAAAATAAAATAGTTATCTTAGTAATTAAATAAGTCTAAGTGAGTCAATCAAGTTATTATCTTACACTTTAGAGGTAAATCAACAATAAATTTGTTTCATACTAATAGTATTAATCTATGTCTGTAGAATAGGATTGTACAGTTTATTAAAAGTAACTAACTAGTAAAGAATTTACTAACTATAAAATATACTTTTTTATAGTCTTTATAAATACTCTTTTTAAAACTAAGTTCTTTTTGTTATTTATTATCTTTTTAAATAACATAAATTGATCTACTCTACTATTCCTATAGTAGTCTACCTATTGTGTTTCTTTATCTAGTACACAATTATATTCCTGTTCATTTTATAAGTATCTAGTCTAATTCTTTCTTATTAAGAATTCTCTTACAAATTTTCTGTTGTGTAGACTCACATACAGACTCAATACTAATACATTTCAAACAGTTTCAGTAATTTATAACTTATCTAATTTGAGTATCTTATTTAAGAAGAGTTAGAGAAAAATAATTGTATTAGTTAGAAAAACTTACACACTTTAATCTGCAAGGCTAGAGCCTTACTCAGAAACACAGAACAGGTAATAATATAAGATTGAGACTAGTGACCTAAGTACAGAAGCAAAGTACAAAGATAAGGTTTAAGTATTTACAAATAGACTTTTTTATATGTATCTAAAGTTATGTATATAACCTAGAAGGTTACACTCTTCCCTACTCTGAAGAAATAAAAAGGAGGGTAGGAAGTAAATAGGAGGGTAAAAAAGTAGAAGAGAAAAGTAAAGTTATAGTAGAGGAGGAGGATGGAAAATATAATAAGAGTAAAAAACAGTTAATAAGGAACACACATTTATAAGTTTAGGAAAGCTTTGACTCATTAATAAAAACATACAAGAACCTTTAATAGAAACAGAAGTAATAGTAGTTATTTGTGAATGGTAAGAGTAATAACCCTTTACAAGTTAGTACTACTATTAATCTACTAATAAAATGTATAGAGTAGAAAGGGTAGTATTGTAGTTGTAAAAATACATAGTTAGAGTGTAACATACTTCAGACTATTACAACATCCTGTGTTAGTATAACTAATTCTTTTTACTGAAAACAATTAGTAATATTGTAAAGTAGTTGTATAAACTTGTAAGAACTTATATTAAAGGCTCTAACTCATTAACAAAGATGAACAAGAATCTTTAGTAGAGTTTAAGTATTATTTGCTAGACATAAAGATGCTAGACAGTATACTATATGTAGAAGGAAGAGTGTATAATAAAGAGAATGTTAACATTCTTAAGCTCTACAAGTATCTGTATTTGTACACAACTAAGTAAGAGACACAAATAAAAGGTAGAATAAAGTAGAGTGTATAATAAAGAGACTATTAACAACTCTTTAACTATACTAGTACTTGTTGCTTGAAGGAGCTAAATGACACAGTTGACAAAATTGATAGGCTAGGTGTTAGAGGTAATAAGAGTTCTAGTAGTGTATAAGTAAAACAGAGTGTGTAAAAGTAATAGTAGGTCTGTGTATATACTAGAAGGGCAATGTACTCCTGTTAACAGTTAGTTAGTAGACAGGACAGAATGTGACAGGACAGGACAGGACAGGACAGGACAGGACAGGACAGGACAGGACAGGACAGGACAGGACAGGAAAGGGACTTTATACTCTTAGAATCAGGACAGGAAAGAGACTTTATACTCTAGGAAGTAGGACAGGAAAGGGACTTTATACTCTCAGAAACTAGAAACTAAAAGCTGGCAGAACTATATGATGAATCAAATCGATTGTCTCAGGAGAGATGTGGGACAGATCAAATCAGCTGTCTCAGGAAAGACAGAACAAGGTCTTTCTGCTCAGTATATTAATGCCTTCCAACAAGCTGAAGGTTGAGGATCCTTCTCTGAGACAGATATTAGACAATGTTGAGCAAAGTATAGGTATAGCTGTTGATGAGCAATACACAGTGACGGGTCCAGGAAGACTTTACCTTGTTGATGAGAACGTGCAGAGACCTTAGCAAAGTTTAAGTACTGTCTGCTACAACATCAATGACAAGCATACGACGAATCAGATCGGCAGCTTCAGGGAAGACATAAGTAGGTATTTCGAATCTTCCACTCTTAACCTTCAAAAGAAGAGCTCGAATACTATGCTGTCAAACGAAAGACGACCAGTCATTAGGGCGAATAGAATTACACTGCAGCTCCAGATGTCAGTAACAGTACCAGGCAAGCGTTCTCCTTGCACGATTTCAGGACTAGCATAGTGCAGGCTTCCACAACTTATTTGTAGACGCTGTTCAGGTGGAGCAAAATCTGCAGTTCCCCAATCTGCAATCTTAATATGAGGAGGGTTGAGATTTGCAATGAGAATGTTCTCCGGCTTGATCTCGCAATGAATGACAGGAAATGCGTGAGCATAAGCAAGCCTGTAGATAATGGACAGTGTATCATAATGACAATTTCCCAGTCTATTCCATTGCGGTACTCCTCTGTCTCGGTCGCGCGAGTGTTCATAGAGTGGCAGGAAGGAAGCGTTCTTGAGAAGCAGAATCTTGATTGTGACCACATGGCAAGACTCGCAATGAAGCGCGACTTTGACGCGACCACTTGCCCTCTTCGCGAACTCCACAGGATGAGCGTTCGGAGATGAATAGGTGTTTGGCAAGAAGGTCATAAAGGTTGTGATTAATTAGGGTATCGTTGTAGAGTACTGTGTATGTGCAGGATATGGTAGATGTGCGAGTAAAGGACAGTGAAGTGGCACAAGTAGAGCGTAGAGTAGATAGCTTCAGAGAATCACCAATTCAAAGCGATGTTCAAAAAAAGTGTAAGGCCGGAGCCTCACTCAGGAACACGGAACGGGCAATGGTATGGGATTGAGACTAGTGACCTAAGTACAGAAGCAAAGTACGAAGATAAGGTCTAAGTATCTACAAATAGCCCTTTTTATATGTATCTAAAGTCACGTGTGTAACCTGGGAGGTTACACAATCTCTGTCAATTGACAATAACTATTTCATTACTTATTGATTACTCAAGAATATATCTAAGACATTATAGAAATATGAAGTATCTCAAGTGTAGCTTGTCAAGTATCATTTCTTTTTACTACCATCTGTTCCCTTTGTCCTGACTGTCCTGCCCTTACTGCTGTAAGAGTCAGTCACAGCTCTGCCCTTATGACTCTTGGGATCTGCTGATCTACTATCCTTACTCCTTTCTGACCGTTTTTCTTCAAATTTTTCCCGGACTGCTTTAACTGCTATAATTTTTGTTATACCTTTTTTCCAGTTCTTCATTTTGTCACCACTCCAGGGCACCTTGTTGCTAGTTTCGAACCACTGAAAATAACAATGAGGGAGCAGTCATTTTAATCTGGGTATCTATTGTTATGTACAAGCTTGTAATCAGACCTTTTCTGCCATACTTTGAAGCTCTTCTGCAGACTTTCTCTGGTAAGGATTAACTTTTAAGCAGTGCTGCAAAATTTCTTTTCCTATATCATAGTGTCAAATATAGCAGCTGTTGTCACCCGAATTAATTTGTGCCTGACTCACCGTCGTCATCTATTCTATATCGACAATAAGGCAATACATGCTTTTCGACGTGTGTATCGGTGATGATACTGGCGACATTGTACTCATTGAACTTAACAGGTGTACCTTTGGCAATCTCCTGCGCATGAACATTGCTATATACGCTCATTGCGGTAACCATCTCAAATACAAGCACCCTACAAAGAGGGGAGCTGTATGCTAATCAAAATATACAAAAGCAGTACGTACCCAAGCGACCAAAGATCCACTTTTTCTGTATACGTCTCAGCTTTAGCCTTGGTGGTCATTTCAGGAGCCATATATGGCGGTGTCCCACACTGTACCTTTATTTCATCTACTTCTGTAATATAAGTAGCACTAGGAAGAGTTTTTCTAAGCAGCTAAGGAAGCATGTAAGAATTTGCTGACAATCCAAAGTCACTTAGGAGGAGTCTGTCCTGTGTACAGGGCTTAAAAGGGTTGCATTCGCCTTTTATAAGGAAGTTATCAGGTCTTTTCGAATAAACGGTTAAAATATTGCATGTAAAAACTCATTATAGCTTTGAACTCAGAACTCACTTTAAGTCTCTGTGAATTACCCCGACTTCCTTTGAATGAAGAAATGCGACCGCTGCAAATATCTGCCTTCGATCCAAATGAATTGTAAGGATGGTCTCCAGGGATCACACTCAATAAATAGCACCTTGAATAATGTGCCATGCTTTCTTCTGAGACACGTTGAACATGGTTCAGTCGGTGAAGGAGAGTATTTCCTCCAGCATACTCGAGTACAATGATCCATGAATCATCGTTTTCGAACGCTCCGTAGCATCTTATCTTCGAAACGTTGGTCATTATACACATATGTAAAAATCTTACTCTGCCTACCACGTGTTTATGTCTCACTTGTGCTAAAATCCTTGCTTCTTTAATTGCGAACTTTTTGGCATTTTCATTCTTCTTCTCGTCGGACCTCAATTTACCATCGGGATTCTTCTTCTTCCAAGTCACTTTAGCAGCAAGCTTCAATGTCTCACCTTCTACAACATCATCTCGTTCAATAAGCTGGCCAAAAGTAGTTTGAGTATTCCATCGATCTGCCACTTAATGGGTAACTGACATACCCCTATTTTCCCGAACTTTCCTTCCCCCACCCACTCCTTCATTGCAAGTCCCCCTGTTATGTTATTACCAGCAGTTTCTTGTTCCAATAACCAGTTATTATAGAACACAGGGCCATTGTTTCCATTTTGGAATAATTGTCTCAATCCTTTAAGTTCTATCATATTTAGGTCAGATAAGTTTTAACTGTTATTGCTTGTTGAAGTCTTGTTTATAACCAAATATTATTGCTTCTCTTCTAAGATCTTCTGTATATGTAAATAACTCTAGTCAAGAGAGAGGTATAGTTTGTACACTTACATCAAATGGCTTTATAGTATCCCTCCTTGTAATAGCTGTATAATACAAAGTACTAGCTTTGCTCTTATATGTACAATGCATTTTAAATTACTATAAAAGTAGTAACTCAGTAATTTTGCATGTTCTGTGTGAAAGAAATATGAACAATGTAGTAAAGTAGCTTTTCCAATTAGGAATTCCTCCTTTAAGTTATTAAGCATATAAGACCTCTTTTCCTTAGTAAGAAATATTTAATATTAAAATACTCTAACTAATGCCAATTTTGCTCTTATTAGATAAGCTTATACATGTCTTTCATTATTCTTTGTATCTGATACTAATGTACACATTGTACAGTGTAGAAACACTTTCTACAACTCAAATCAACTTGTCTGAGATACTAAGATACTAACTCAAAACCTGTATACACTACTATCTGTACTACTCATTACTATATATTGCTAATATATTTGCTATAATTGCTTACAACCAATAACACTAGTTTTCTACAATGATACACTTTCAGTCTGTATATAGTTTCAAGCATAATTTCTCTCACACACTTATGAAAACTGTACAACAACTAAAGTAGAGAATGAAATGTATATTGTACAGTCTAGAGACATATTTGTCCTAGTCTATTACAGATATATGGCAAGAGAATAAGTCAAAGTATTAAGCTAGCTAGGTTAAGACACATTACAAAAACAAACAGACAATTGTATACCCTTGTCTATTTGACAAGTATTAGTAAGCTATATAATGCATTTTATACTTATTTATGACAGAGATAAGTATATATTGTAGGAACAGAATTGTGATTAGAATATATTTTCAAGGAATTATTTTATGTAAATATAATGGATTACAAGACTTAAACAAGACATATACAGTGAAACCTCTCATTAAGCATTACTCTTATTACTGCCCTTTTCATAAGTATTGTCACACTTGATGATTCATTATTTTTTGTCACAAAAGTAAACAAAACAAAAAAATAACTATTTCTCACTCAATTCTGCACAGAATTCAGTGATTATTTGATGTAAATTCATGTTTTTTAAGTATGCTTCAAATAGACACTTTAATTATTAAATTTGAGCAAGATTTGACTGAGTTATAGTGAAAAGACACTGTT